GGACATCATGGGACAGACTGGGAGAGGGCATTTAAGGTCTTGGTACACCGGATGTGGGCACCCCTCCTCCCCAGACTCTCCCAGGGCACCCCATTTCTCACCTGCTCCCAACTTTAGCTTCCTGCTCTATACCACATCCCATCCAACCTCAAACCATGGGTGGCCAAAGGGAGGGGTTCGGGGGTAGGGGCAAGATTGGGGCTAGGGCACACTCCAAGAACTGCCCCCACTAAGAGGCTGACTAGAATCTGATGTGACCCAGGCGAGCTGGGGAGGAGAGGGCTGTGCTTTCTCCCTAAACACCCAGAATATTCTGTCTCTGTGGGGGCCCAAGTGCCAGGAATGGAGGTGGCTCAGTACTAGAGGAGACTTTGGCTTCCCCCTCTTCGATGGAGGAAAAATCTGAGGTTCAGACTGGGCAGTGTTTTAGCCCTTGAATACCCCTGATTATAGGGGTCCCCTGGAAGGCAGAGTATTGGGGAAGCCAGGGTGACCTGAGAGAGTGACTGGATGGGAAAGGACAGCAAGGCAAGGGGTCCAGAGGTGCTTGACCGGAAGGACAGCCTGTGGCTGCCTGGCCGGCTTTCATCCTCAGCAGGGCAGTGTGGAAAGAGGGAGGACTTCCCTTCTAGGAGGAGGCCCACAGTTCACGATTCTGTAGGTGGAAGCCCCAGGGAGACAGGTGCTGGAAGTTCCAAGAAAACACTCGTTCAAGGTCAGAGCTGGCTAGCTATGGAAAGCATGGCCTCTGGGAGACAGCAAGGAGGACTCTGTCAGAGAGACTCTTGGGGAATTTCTATAAGGTAGATTGGGGATGGGAGAGGGGATGGGGGGTCGGTCGCGCTGAACTAAGAGTCCTAGGTTTTCTCCAACCCATCCCCAAGATTCCCAGACTTTCTATTGGTCATAAGAAGCCCTTGAACCCTAATACCAGGCTTTTTGCTCCCGGCTGGGCCCCTTGCCTCCCCTCCCAGCCAACAAGCCCGACACAGACAAAATGCTTTCCTCCTAGGCTTGGATGTTGTCACGGTCTCATCTCCCTGAGCACCGCCTTGGCCACACACATCATAGCCTCAGCTGGGAGACGGAGGGAGGGCAGGCAGGCTGGGCGTGGGGAACTGGGTGACCAGAGCGGGCTGGGAGGTTGCTGGGATACCGGCAGGGGCAACGAACTCAGGAGTCCCCCCCAGGTGCCACAGAAGAAGCTGGCCCGGGACGTATCAGTGTACCCCATCCCTGTCTCCCTACTGGACAGATGGTGTTTATCTAACTTAGGAGGGAGGGGGCCAGCCAGCAAGCATGGGCTATGTACTCTATTTGGGTAATGAGGCCGATGGTACCCTGGGGTGGCAGTCCTCCCCACTCCCTATCCCAAAACAAACACAGGAGCTTGGAGACCAGAGAAGAGAGGGGACCCAGTGACCCATGCACCTAAGGGGCTGTAGTAGTCAGATTGCCACCCATCCACCTCTTACCCCCAAGATGAGGGAGAAGCCTTGGAAGAAAGCGGGCCTGGGGTTCTGAAAAACTAAGCCTTGGGGCCTCAGCTTCCCATGTGAGCAAGGGTGGGAGAAGGTGGGCCAGAAGGGACTGGTAGACAGCCCTGGCTTGTGGACCATGAGGATGGAGGGAGAAGGGGGGAACCAGTGGGGGTCTGGACCCTGAGCATCTTGACTTCCTGGGTCAGCTCCTTAGGGGTGGTTGACTTGGCCTGTAAGAGGTGCTAGATGCTGTCCGGGCCGGTGGTGTCACATCGCAAAGGGGAGAAAATAAGGATCTTGCCTGGGTCTCCCCCAGCCTTTCTGAAGTCCTTACTGACTTGGCACATCTTGACCTTGAGAGTCAAGCCCCTCACCTGTGTAAGGCCCTTCCATCTCGTGGATTTGATTGACGGCTAGGATTAGGGTCAGGGTTAGGGGTCGGGATCAGAGTGCTGCTTCCCCACGGCACGTGCCCACCACTCCACCGTCCCAGCTGCCTTCCTTTGGAGCCCGATGGCTATTGTCTTGCACACACCCCTGAGAAGGGGCACACCTTTCCAGCTCAGCCCAGATCGCCATCCTGGGATTCCGGAGTGGGCAGGCGCCAGAAGGGCAGTGAAAAGACAGAGGCTGGTTGCTTGGAGGCCACTTCTCCCCACCCAGGAACACCTTCCCCATCCCCTAGGGGCCAAAGGGGGCCAGTGAGACTGGTGGAGAGAAAGCCATAGGGCCTGAATGAATCTCCACCATGTGGCCTTGGGAATGTCCCTTCACCTTCCTGACGCTCAGTTGCCTTCTGTTAGAAATGGGTCTGAGAACCCGCCCTAGCGGGCCTACAGACAGATGTCTGTGGGACCACCGGCATTATTGTCTTTAGGACGTTGCTGACAAACAGGTTTCAGCCCTGGCTTTAGTTCTGGCGGTGGGTGAGTGAGCAGCTCCGGCCAGAGAACACAGGGGCCCCTAGCAAGGACCTATTCTGAAGGTCTGACTCTCAGGGTAGGAATTTCAGGCAGGTTAGAGCGAGGAGCAGGATTTTCGGGGTTGGGGAGGAGACCCTCAGATAGCCCAGCATGGATGAATACCCAGTGCATGGCAAGAGTGGGGAGCCAGCCCTGCAGGAGCAACCCCCCCTGACCCAGCCCTCTCCCTCTGATAGTGGCAAGCTGGTGTCTCCCAAGTGGAAGAATTTCAAAGGCCTCAAGCTGCTTTGCAGAGACAAGATCCGCCTCAACAACGCCATCTGGAGGGCCTGGTACATCCAGTGTGAGTGGGCACCACGGGCCTCACCAGCAGGGGGGCTGTAAGTGGGGGGCACCCAGGAAACCCCCATGGCCCTTAGGGGCCAGCACCAGCATCTGACCCCCAGAGGGTCTAGGGGAACGCGTTCCAAAGGGTGCTCTCCACAGGGACCGCTAGGCACAGCAGCGGTCACCCCTTGGAAGTCCTAAGGTGGGCAGAGATTTGAGGGCAGTTCAAGACCCTTTCTGCATTCCATCAGCCTAGTCAGTGCCTCACATGGCAGGGTGGAAAGAGGTGCTAGATGCTGTCCGGGCCAGTGGCATTGCGTCGCAAAGGGGAGAAAATAAGGATCTTGCCTGGGTCTCCCCCAGCCTTTCTGAAGTCCTTACTGAACCGCCAGCAGGTGCCTGCATGGAGTCTGGGGGGCGGTGCGGCACCCAGAGAGGCCATGTGGTAGAGTGGGGGGGGCTGCAGACTTGGGAGTTGCCCAGAGCTGCTTACCTCCCCAGTCTCTGCCCTTGCTGGCTGTGGAACCCCAGGCTGTGTGACTAACGTCTCTGAATCTGTTTCCTAATAAGGCCAACAGTCCTACTTTTCCTGGTCGGCCTGGGGATAACAAGTATGAACGGGCCCGGCTCAAAGCTGGTGCTGAATAAATGATGGGTGAATCTTTTTTTTTTTTTTAAGATTTTATTTATTCATTTGAGACAGAGTTAGAGAGAGAGAGCATGAGCAGGGGGAGAGGCAGAGGGAGAGGGAGAAGCAGGCTCCCCGCCGAGCCAGGAGCCCGATGTGGGGTTCGTTCCCAGGACCCGAGCCGAAGGCAGACGCTTAACCATCTGAGCCACCCAGGAGCCCCCATGATGGGTGAATCTGATATGCCCTTGAGAAGGTCACGGTCATTCATTTTGGGATTCGAGACCCACCCACCCTCCATGGCAAAACAGCCGAGGCTGAGCAGCCTCAGACCAGTCCACCCTGGGTTGGGACCTTGTCCGGTGCAGCCAAGTCCTGCTACAGGATCAAAAGCTACCCTGAGCTGGGAACACACAGCCCAGGGGGGAACATATTCAGTGTTCTCTGTCCTGGTCCGCTGGATTCCATCCGAGCAGAGAGAGGGAGGGTTTTCTGGTTTCCATTTATCTCTGGTGCCCAGTACTTCATAAACCATCTTATTCGAGGCTACCTGGCAACCCTGGCAGATAGGTATTATTACCCCCATTTTATGGATGAGCAAGTAAGGCCCAGAAGGCCAGTAACTTGTTCAGGGTCATGGAGCATAAAAGGAACAGAGCTGTGACTGGCTGGAAGTCCAGGGCTCTCCTACTCTGAGCCCAGAGCTCCTTTCGCTGCTCCCAGCTGGCTGGCTTCCAGTCCTCACCTGAGAACAGGTAGGATGGCTCACCTGAGAACACGTAGGACCAGGACCTACCCTAACCAGGAGGTTGATAGGCCAGAGGGAGTCACTGCCACTTTCCCCACCGCCCCGCTCTCTCTGCCCTTCCCCCACACAGCTGGATGGGATGCAAACCCTTCTCTGCAGAAGAAATTGCTGATGCTACCCAGGGTCCTCACCCAGACAGGCAGACCCTGGTCTCTGGCTATTGCCCGAGTTGCTGGAAGCACCTGGGTTCTGTGTCAGACAGAGAGGGGGGCTGGGTCAAGTTCTAGGATGCCCCTTCCCACCAAGCTGTGTGACCTTGGGAAAGTCCCTAGTCTCCCTAGATAAGGATCGCTCATCTGTACAGAGAGAATAACGGTAGGTCCTGCTCTGAGGCTTGCTGTGAGTTTTTAGTGAGATCATTCATATCTCAGCACAGGGCCTGACACACACAAGGGCTCCCCGAAGGTGATAATGTTATCGTGATAATAGCAACAGCACATGGCACACCCCTTCTCCCCGGGCACTGAGGGTTTGAAGGTGGGCTTCAGGAAAGGGAGGGGGGAACAGCTGGAGGGCTGCCTGGCTCATCCCCTTTGTACCTGCCACCCCTCTGCAGGCTCCTGGCCTCCAAGTTCCCCTCCTTTCTAACACCCCCAAATCATCTTGGTGTCCTCTGAGCTCCCAGAGCACTGTGCACCTCTCATGGGCGGGCTCCCCACCTTGCATTAGCTCATGTTACGTGTGTGCTTTCCTTATCTCTCCAACTAAGCCGTGAGTGCTCTGATTCGCCTGCGGATTCCCTGTGCCAGCATCTGTCCCAGCTCAGGTGCAAGGGGCTAGGTGGCTTCCTGAACGGATGAACTTAACAGTGTTAAATAAAGCCCGCCCCAGCCCCAGGAGCCACATGGTCACTGCCCTTCTGTCTAGAGCACAGGGTCCCCGGGGTGGGGGAGGGAAGGTCCAGCCAGGCCCGCTCAGACCTGACCCTCTGGGGACCCTAGTGCTCATGTCCTCATCTGGGAACCCAGGGCAGCTACTCTTTGAGACCCTCCTTACTCTCACCCCCTGGGAGTTCACACACCCAGGGGCCCATCCCTTTGTTTTCCAAGCCACGCTCAGCTAGCAGGACAAACCTCTTCCCTAATCCCATGGGGATCGTTTTGGAGACTGTCCTTTAGGACAGAACTTTGTAAATGAGGCTGAAGGTCCCGATAATTTCATGTTTGGGTGGTCCCCCTTGTCTGTTAATTGTCCCAGAGGAAGTTTGCTGAGGACTGAGGCGGGAAAAGTCACTGCATGGGGGTCCCAGGGTCCGGAAGCCCTACTGTGTGCCAAGCTCTCTGCCAGATTCAGGGATTTGAGGCTAAAGGGCAACAGCTCCTACTTTTACTCCTAGCAGGGAGGCCAGCATGCAGAGAAATGGCCAAGGCCAAGTGGAGAGCCAGGCAGATAAGACTGCAGGGTTTCAGAGGAGGGAGGGCTTCCTGGAAGAGGGACTGCCCTGGGCTCTCCTGACGGGTGGGCAGATGTGGGTGAGGCAGAGGAGGGAAGGGAAAGGCATTCCGTGAAGAATAAAACCAGAGGGTGGGCTGTGGTGGGGGGAAGCTGTTTGGCTTCAAGGTGGGGCCTGTGAAGGAGGTCACCAGACCCCCGGTGGGGGGTGTGTGTGACTAAGAATATGGAGGGGAGGGGACAGTGGCAGAAATGCCACATATCCTCGGGAGTGAGACAGGAGTGAGATGATTAGTTCACCGTTAGAGAGGAATGCTGGGGGTAGATGGGCAGTTTCTGTGGGGGGCAGTGTTGGCTGTCCAGAGGACGCACAGGCTTGGGAAGGACATTTCCAAACATCTGAGAGGGTCAAGTTTTGGGACATCCTTTTTTTTTTTTTTTTTAATTCCCTACCCCCCAAGTTTTGGGACATCCTGACAGAGATTCTATGGGCGGGTGAAAAATATCTGCAGCTGGAAAGGGGCAAGATGAGAGGGGTTTGGGGGCACGCCTCGCAGAAGGGCCAGTGAAAATAGTCAAGGAGGCAGGAGAACAAAGGGTAGGTTCCCTGGCCGAGGGAGGAGGGGGTGCTCTGCATTGAGGTCCAAGAGGTTGGGTCCAGGGAGGGTAAGGGCCTTGGCCGGGCAGTGGGGGCAGGTGCTGGGTCACAGGAAGTGAAGAGGAGACCGGGAGGCACAGAGTGGAGGTGCTGATGACAACTATTCTAGAACTGGGGGCAAAGCAGAGGGGTGAAAGGGAAGAAGATTAGCTTGTTGGGGTAGCAAAGGAAGGGAAAGTTTGGGAGGTAAAGGGGAGCCTGAAATGTGTTTATGGGCCCCGAAGAAGGAGCCTGGGGAGGGAGAGATTGGACTGGAGATAGGGAAGGGAGTGGAGGAGGTGGAGAAAGGGCTCAGCTAGGTGGCCTGAGAGGACAAGGGGTGGTTCTCTGGCATCAGATTGGGCAGTGCCGAGGAGCCTGAGGCAGGAGACCAACGGCTCCAGGCCCTGGCCTGCCAGTCTGACCTTCTTGGAGCAGCTCACTTCCTGTGGTCCCACAATCCCATTCAGCGAGTGTTGCCTGAACACCTACCGGGCTCCCAAGGGAGGCAGAGGAGGTGTGGGAGGTTCCTTTCACAGGGTCCTGTAAAAGAGGGGGCTCTGGGGGTGCTGGAGCAGGCAGGAAGGCTTCCTGGAGGAGGTGGCACTTCTCTAAGCATCAGAAGCCAAGCAGGATTTCATAGTGTGGCACTTGAGTCCCAGTCCCCTTGGGGTGGGAGGTGAAGGCGCCGGGTACCTCCCTGACCTGGCCCCCTTCTCTCAGATGTGGAGCAGAGGAAGAGCCCCGTGTGTGGCTTCGTGACCCCCCTGCAGGGGCCTGAGGCTGACGAGCACCGGAAACCAGAGGTAGCTGAGCGGCGGGCCCTCCGGCCTGCCTGCCTCCCTGCCGAGCCCGGCCCCTCCCTCGGGTCTCTCCCGGCGCGGGGCAGGAGGGGCTGGCCCAGGTGCGGATTGGGTGAGGGCTGGGGGTCAGTGCCCGCGGTCTCACTGAGCCCCCTCCTGGTCCTCCCCAGGCCGTGGTCCTGGAGGGCAATTACTGGAAGCGGCGCATCGAGGTAGTGATGCGCGAATACCACAAGTGGCGCATCTACTACAAGAAACGGGTCAGTGGTGGGAGGGAGGGGGGTCCGGGGGGCTGCGGACCACTGCCTCTCTTGGGAGAGCCCGGGCGGGACTCCCCTCGACCGCCCGACCCCGCCTGCCATTAAGAGCCAGGCTGACAGCGCCACCGTGTGGCCCAGAGTCTCCTCGCCGCCTCCTTACCTCCCAGCGCGGAGGAGCTCCTGAGGGGAAATGGGGAGCCCCTTCGTCCGGGGGAGCTTCTGAGTAGGGGCGGCCTTGGCGGGCGCTGATGGAAGAGGGACAGGCGATCCAGTGTCCACCACTGTGTGTTCCTGCAGCTCCGTAAATCCAGCAGGGAAGGGGACCTCCTGACCCCAAAGCAGGTGGGTGCTCCCGGGAGCCAGAGAACTGACAGCTTCCCTCTAGGTGGGTAAGGCGGTGGCCCGGCGACGGTGGGTCACGAAGGCAGTGGGTGTGGCCGCTGTCCTCTATTGATCGAGCCCTTCTCCCCGGAGGAGGGGGAGCCTTTGAGCGCAGCGGTGGGAAGACCCCAAGCCTTCCGGGTAGCCCAGCAAGTGGTGGGAGGCATGGGGGGAACAGAAGTCCCCAAGAACTGGGGTTCCGGGCAGGAAAAAAGTATAGGGGGCAGGAAGAGGACCCTTATCTGTTCAGCAGGCCACCCAGCTCTGTCTGCTGGGGGCAGTTGTCAGAGGCCAATGGGGTGGCCATAGGCCTTCCAGGCAGCAAACTGGGTCCTCCAGAGAGAGGTGAGGAGGGCCGTGCACACACAGGCTCCCGACCTGCTGACCACCTCATCCCCCAGGCGGGGGCCATACGGAAGGGCGAGGGGCAGTGGGGGACCCCTGTGTCCCCCTCGTGGCTGCTGAAGGCTCTGTCTCCCTAGGCGGAAGGGGGTTGGCAGCCACCAGAGCGATGGTGCGAGCAGCTCTTCTCGAGCGTGGTGCCCGTGCTGCTGGGGGGCCCGGAGGAGGAGCCCAGCGGGCGGCAGCTGCTGGACCTCGATTGCTTTTTGTCCGACATCTCCGACACGCTCTTCACCATGACGCAGCCCAGCTCCGCACCCCTGCAGCTGCCCCCTGAGGACGGTAAGGGCCTGCACCTGGAAAGCGAGGCCTGCGAGAAATCTGGGCGGCCAAGGGAGGGTGGCCAGAGGATGGGCGGCCCCCACTCCACCCCGCCTGCCGCTCCTGATGGCACCCCTGCCCCCTCCAGCCTACGTGGGCAATGCTGACATGATCCAGCCGGACCTGACGCCCCTGCAGCCCAGCCTGGACGACTTCATGGAGATCTCAGGTGAGGCAGCGCCCCCTGTTGGGTGGGGTTGTAGGCCGGGCCAGCGTGAGGAAAGTCCCCGGATGACCACCGGCCCTCAGGTGCGTCCCAGGCCCCTCCGGGAGGACGGATGGTCTAAGTGATTTCTGAGGGCCCTTCCTGGTCTCCCTTTGTCCGGACTTGGGATGCAATCGACGTGGCCTCAGGTGAGAGCAGGGCCAGACTGGGCACCTGAGCAGGCGCCAGGGCCCAGGAAAGTAGGGGATGTTGGGAATCTCAGGAGAGAAAGGGACTTTGATTTGTTTGGGCCCGTTTATTATTTACATAATTCCCTTTAAAAACTATTAAAGAACATTCCAGGGGCGCCTGGGTGGCTCAGTCGGTTAAGCGTCTGCCTTGGGCTCAGGTCATGATCCTGGGGTCCTGGGATCGAGCCCCACCTCGGGCTCCCTGCTCAGCTCGGAGAGTCTGCTTCTCCTTCTCCCTCTGCACCTCCCCCCAGTCGTGCTCTCTCTCTCTCTCTCAAATAAATATAAACAAATAAAATCTTTAAATAAATAAAAAAGAACATTCCAAACATACACAGAGAGAGAGAGAGTGGTTCACTGAAGCCTCCTGTAACCATCACCGACTTCAATATGTATCAACCCTTGACCGATCTGGTTTCATGGAGGCCTCACCCACTTCTCCTTCCTTAGTGGTTTTTAAGAAAATCCCAGGAATTATATCTTGTAAAGCATTTTTATTTTTTATTTCTTTTATTTTTTATTTTTTTTAGTAATGTGTTTCTGTGCCTCCCTCTCCCTGACCCTAGGGCTGCTAGGTCACTGGTTTCTTGTGTCCTCCCAGAGATACCCGTGTCTGCATGAGCACCCGTGGACAAATGTCTCTTTTTGTTTTCACAATAGACTTTGCCTGACATTGCTTCCTTTACTTAGCTTAGATCCTGGAGACTGTCCCCGACAATCATACGAACAGGGGACTCTGGACCCTGTTAGGGGTCGGGTAGCCATAGAGGCTTGGCCTGTCTCAGCCCAGGCCCAGGGGGTAGGAAGGGGGTTTCTGGGATAAAGGCTTAGTTCCCATGACCCCTCCGCTTCTTCTGCATAGGGTCCTGGGCCTGTCAGTCAAGAGGTGGGGCGGGCACTAGGGAATGAGGAACCACCCCCACCCCTGCCTCAGCCCTGGGCAGGGTGGGGGCCGTGGGGGCAGAAGTGTTGATGGCAGAGCCCAGGGAGCAGACCAGTCTGGGAGGGCAGTGGTCCTGTCTGGGCACACGTACCCCCGCCACAGGTAGGAAACCGACTCTTGCCCGGACTCCGCCAAATTGGGGGCTAGGAAGCCACTTCTCTCAATCCAGGGTGGCTGCGGGGGGGCGGTGAGCATGGGCAACCAAAGGTAGGGGATGTGGGTGATGCAGAGGAGGTGGCTAGTGTGGCCCCCTGGCGCTGCACACACAGGGAGGGCCGGGAGCACCAAGGCCACCAGGGCCACTGCCTCGATTGTCCCCCAGGGCTCCTCACTTGAGAGGAAACCCAGGGACGGGGCCGGAACTCTACCGAGGGAGGGGGCTTGGGGAGGAGTGTTCAAGGAAGGGGAGGGGGATTGGAGTAGGAGAGGGTCTCAGGGAGGGGATATAGATCAATGGGGGGACAGAAGCTGGGGGGGGACTAGGGCTCCGTGGGTGGCCGGCTAGGGCTACAAAGCAACTTCTCTCAAGGGGGAAGGGACAGTTGAGGGCAAACTATGGCAGGGGGGGTGGTGGTGACTGGGCTCGGTACCCCATGAGCCCTGCAGAGCACTGGGGAGGAGGCAGCAGCAGTGAGCGGGGAACAGGCCCCCCTACGTGGCTCGTTCTAGAGCCTAGGCCTCAAGGGGCCTAGTGATGAGGCCCACAGTCTCTGGGGGCTGGGGGGATAGAGGATCAGTGACCACTCACCCTCTGCCACCCAGTCCCTCGGTTAAAGGGAGGCAGTAGGACAAGAAGATCCTTTCTGATCAGGTGGTCAAGAAAGACCCACATGAGCGCGTGCAAGCTCACACACACACAAACACACACACCCGGGCACAGAGCCGATGTGCGCCTGCAGAGGGCCTCACATCAAGGTAGGCACACACGGACTCAGACAGAGCTACAGACACGGGGACACACAGCAGAGATGGATCCTGCATGAGACCACACGCTGACACCCACAGAGCGACAACCTTCCAGTGACACATGGGCACCAGACTCACATAAGATGCACATACAAAGTTTAACTCCATCAGGCTCCGGGTTGGGTGTGGGCTTATCTGTCCCGTTCCTGGGTCTCCTTCAAGGTGGCCTTTGGGAGAGAGGCCTGACCAGCTTCCCTGGCTGGGGAGCCAGGGCCTTGGATGGGCCTTGTGTGGCTGGGTCAGGCCAGACCAAGAGGCCTTGGGAGCTGGTTCAGACCAAAGGCTGGTCAGGGTCAGAGAAAGGTGCCCGGAAGGGAGCGGGTGGGCGGGTGGCGCCCAGGCCCGGGATGTGGTTAGGCCACAGGCAGCTGCTTCCCAAAACCAGAATAGCCTGGGGCTTACACAACCCGCACCTCAGACAATCTGGCTGCCCCCTCCCGGCCAGCTCTTTGAGGCTTTCCAGCCCCCCCCACCCTTGCCCCCACTCTGAGCCCACCCTCTGACCCCTGCTATGACCCCCTTAGTCCTTCACCCCACTCCCGGGCTCTACTTTTGAGGCCCCACTTGACCTTCCAACAAACCAACTTGTCCCAGACCCACTGACCTCCTGACCCATCTCACCTCTAGCTCACCCCTTGAACTCCCATCACCCTGGGGCTCTTCCCTATCCCAGACCTCCGCCCCGTGCACCTCACCCCTTTCCCTCACTGGCAGGCTCTATTACCCTGCCCCTTTCTATGGCCCCAGCAGAGTTGGTAACAGGAGGGGGAGAGGGGAGGGCCTGGGCCTGGGATGGGGAAGGGGACCCCATGAGCCAGGTGTAAGGCTCGGTGGGAGGACTATTTCCCGGGGTTCTACTCACACCCCGACCCGGCCTCTGCTGTCCAGGGTGCAGGCCCATCCCACCCGAACCTCTGTTGCTGCTTCCCCTGAGTGAGACAGAAACTCTCCCAATTTCACAATCTCCTGTAGAAGCCCCCCCCGCCCGCCTCCCCCTGATCTCATTGCCAGCCAGGCCAGCCCAGCCTGGGGACAGGGCACGAGGCCCACTCTCCTCCCACTGCTTCCAGCCACGCCTGGCCTTATCCCTAACTGCCACCGCCTTGTATGTCTGAATTACAGATTTCTTCACCAGCTACCGCCCCCCTCCGACGCCCACGCCCTCACACTTCCCGGAGCCCCCCAGCTTTGGCCCCATGGCTGACCCTTTCTTCAGCAGCGGGATCTTGGGCTCAGAGGTGCCCCCTGCCTCGTCGGGTGTGACCCACCTCTCAGGGCATAACCGCCTGCAGGTGAGCTCCCGCCCCCACCCCACTCAGCCCTGCCTAGCTCACCTGCCCCTGTCTGGGAGATAGGGTAATTCCCGAGTACCCAGTCCTGTGCCTGGTCGACTGAGAGGGACTGGAGGGGGGAGAGAGACCCCATCTCTGCCCTCTGAGAGGGAGCAATTCAGCTCAGGAGGAAGGAGCCTCGTGAAGCAGAACTGGACCAGGTGGTTATAGAGGGGAGGCTGAGGGCAGCGGCCGGGGTGGGGCGGGGGGGGAGGGGCAGTGGAGAGGGGAGGGCATGGAGGAGGACACCACCCAGGACCGGGTTGCTTATGGAAGGCTTCCTGGAGGAGGGGAGGTTCTGGGCTTAGTGAATGGGTTGGGTTTGGACAGAAGAAGAGACTGGTAGAGGGCAAGCCAGATGGGAGGAGCAGCGCAAAGGAGCACACGGAGACAGGAAGCTCAGTGTGAGTGTTTAGGACACGGTGAAGCTGCCATTTTGGATGAGGAACCCGCAGCCGCAGGCTCAATTTGGAGGTCGCCTCCCTGCTGCTCTGTCAGACGCCTTTTCCTTCTGTCATCAGACTGTTCAGGCACTCTTGTAGTTCATTGTTGAGAGGTCTCTTCAACTAGACAGCGAGCTCCTCGCTGAAAGAGCTAACTAAGCCTTGCTCAGGCTTACCTGGCACAGTTCAAGCACCTGAGCAGCACTGGCTAAATCGTTGCCCAATGACTGAGCTAATGAGCCAGTGAGTGAGTGTGTAGATGGAGGGGTGTGTTGGTGAGTGGATAGATGGGTTGTAGTTGAGGGTGGATGCTTACATGGGTTGGTGTCCATATGGGTAGGTGAGTGGTCGGTTGGATGGATGGGCTGTAGATGGATTTGTAGATGGATAGTTTGGTGGGTCAGTGAATAGGCTGGTGGCTGAAGAAGTGGCTGGTCAGTGAACAGATGGTGGATAGGTAGAGGATTATGGATGGGTTGATGGATGAATGAAGTAGAGACGGTCAGATAGATTGGTGAATGGGCTAATAACTGGTGGGCTGGTGGAGAGATGGGTGGATGAGTTAGCTGGCAGGTGAGAGGACAAATAGGTGAATGGAGGACGGATGGGTTAGTGGATGGATTGGTGGCTGGATGGAATAATTAATCTGGCAAATGAAAAGATGGGCAGGAAGATTGATACTCTTTCTCACGCCTAATTTGTGCATACGTGTGTTCCAATCCCTCCCCTCATTAGACTGCAGTTTCCCTTGGTGTGTGGGTGTGGGTCGGGGGAGGGGCAGCAGGGATCATTTCTCCTATCTCTCCCAGTGCCCAGTCCAGAGCTCAGCCAGGTCAAGAGGCTGCCGGGGTGGCTGCCAAGACCAGCTCTCTTCCCTGCTCTGTCTGTCCCCCAACCAGGCCCGGAGCAGCTGCCCTGGCCCCCTGGACTCCAGTGCCTTCCTGAACTCTGATTTCCTCCTTCCTGAAGACCCCAAGCCCAAGCTCCCACCTCCGCCAGTCCCCCCACCCCTCCTCCAATACCCGGCCCTTGCCAAGGGGCCTGGCCTAGAGCCCTGTCCCCCACCCACCTTCCCTCCCATGGCTCCTCCCCCTGCTTTGCTGCCGGAAGAGCCTCTCTTCTCTCCCAGATTCCCCTTCTCCACTGTCCCCCAGGGCCCAGGAGTGTCCCCACTGCCTGCTCCCACTGCCTTCCCACCCACCCCACAGCCGGGTCCAGGCCCGGCCCCTGGCCCCTTCCCCATAGACCTTCTGCCCCCAGGGTATCTGGAGCCCACATTTGGGCCCCACTTCACAGTGCCCCAAGGCATGCGGCCCAGAGGCAGGCCCCCCACCCCATCCGCTAGAGGGCGGAAGCCCAGCCCCCCGACTTTGGCCCCTGCCATTGCCAACCCCACCGTCACTGCCGGGGGCAGCAACCCCTGCCTCACGCAGCTGCTCACAGCAGGTGAGATGTGAGATGGGGAGAACCGGGTCCACAGAGGGGAAGGTGGGGACCTCAGATGTGGAAGTGGGGAGCCTATGGGAGCAGAGGGTGAAGGTTTAAGGGGCAGGCTCAGGCTCAGCTGGGGGGGTGTGGAGAAGTGGGGAGGAATTAGGGACATGGGCCCTGAACCCAAACGGGGAGTGGGCTTTTTTGGAGGGGAGGGAGGGGGTCTTTGGAAATGACGGGGTTGAGGCTGGCCCCAGTGGCCCTCACACTTCTGCCCATGCACAGCGAAGCCTGAGCAGACCCTGGAACCAGCACTTGTGTCCAGCACCCTCCTCCGGCCCTCGGGGTCCCCGGTAAGATGGCGGGCACTGGGAGGTGAGGGGGGACCCAGGGCTTCACCCCAACTCTCCACCCTTCTCCACTCCAGCAGGAGACGGCCCCTGAATTCCCCTGCACCTTTCTACCCCCGACCCCGGCCCCCACACCGCCCCAGCCACCTCCAGGCCCGGCCACGCTGGCCCCTCCCAGGCCCCTGATTGTCCCCAAAGCGGAGCGGCTCTCGCCCCCAGCGCACAGCGGTAAAGAGGCTTGCAGGGCTTGGGGGACTCCAGGGGGTGGAGGGGAAGGAAGAAGGGGGGACTACATCTGAGGCCAGGATGAGCGGGACAGGGCAATGGGACCCTCTCCCCTGTGTCGGTCTCTCTGTGGGTCTCTGTCTGTCCCTGCCACAGGTGGTGAGCGGCGGCTGTCTGGGGAGCTCAGCTCCATGCGGGGCCCAGGGACTCTGAGTGTCTGCGTCTCTCCCCCTCAACCCATCCTAAGCCGGGGCCGTCCAGACAACAACAAGGTGGCACCTTTCCCTCACCCCGAGATCTGTTTGCTACCCCTAGGCCCTTCCATGCTCCTTCCTAGGCTCACCCCACTGTCTGCCCCCCAAGACTGAGAACCGGCGCATCACCCACATCTCTGCAGAGCAGAAGCGGCGCTTCAACATCAAGCTGGGGTTTGACACCCTGCACGGGCTGGTGAGCACACTCAGCGCCCAGCCCAGCCTCAAGGTGAGCCCCCAGCCCAGGCCGGCACCCCAGAACCGCAGGGCTCCTTCGTTGACCCCACCCCCCACCCCCTGTCCCGCCCAAGACCAAATCTCAGGACCCTCTGGACACCCAGTTTCCTCCTCCCACCCAGTGCCTCAGTGGGCCCCAGAGTGGGGCCACCTCCAGCACCTGAGCCCACCCTGGTGATGCCTGCAGGTGAGCAAAGCAACCACGCTGCAGAAGACAGCCGAGTACATCGCCATGCTGCAGCAGGAGCGCGCGGCCTTGCAGGAGGAGGCCCAGCAGCTACGGGACCAGATCGAGGAGCTCAACGCTGCCATTAAGTAGGCAGGGGGCCTGTGGGCGCTGGGGCCAGGGGCATGCCGCGCGACTCCCCAGCCCTGACCGGCCCCCTGCCCCCAGCCTGTGCCAGCAACAGCTGCCTGCTACTGGGGTGCCCATCACACACCAGCGTTTCGACCAGATGCGAGACATGTTTGACGACTATGTCCGTACCCGGACGCTGCACAACTGGAAGTTCTGGGTGGTATCCTCCCTCGGCCGGTGGGGGGTGGAGGTGGGGGGAGCGCGGCAGCCAGACAGGCCAGGCAGGGGCTCTGAGCTGAGCCCAGGGGAAGGGACACAGGTTCTGCCCCCTCCTTCCAGGCCCGTGGCATCTTGGCCGGCAGGAGTGCCCAGTGATTCGCTGGGAGCAGAGGAAAACCAAGGGAGGAGCCCCTGGGTGAGGGGACCACAGCCCTGCCCACAGAATGTCCCAAGGGGAGTTTGGGAGAACCTCAAGTCTGAGTCGCGTGAGCGGGGTGGCTCCTGAAGAAGACGTGGAATCTCTCACTCCCTTACCTGGTCAAACTCTTGGCTGAGCTGGGACAGGAAGCTCAGGGACAAGGGATAGCGTAGCCCAGAAGATGGCATAGAGGGGCCGGGCAGGCCGTGGCAGGATGGGAGGGTGGCTGCAGTGGGAGGCCTCCAAGTTCAAGGTGCCACCGTGGCCAGGACCTTCCCCGGGGTTTGGGCCAGATGTCAGGGCTACACATGAGCTGGGTGAGGGTCCTGGCTGATCAACAGGCCTGCTCCTTGACCTGAGCCCAGTTCAGCGTCCTCATTCGGCCTCTGTTCGAGTCCTTCAACGGGATGGTGTCCACTGCAAGCTTGCAGAGCCTCCGCCAGACCTCCCTGGCTTGGCTGGACCAGTACTGCTCCCTGCCCGCTCTCCGGCCAAGTACGTGAGCCACCCCCCTGCCCACCAGAATGTCCAGGAACGTCCAGGAAGGTCCACTCTGCTCAGACCACAGGTCCAGCCTGCTTTCAGAATAGCCTAAAGTTTCGGCCATCCCACCACGTACCTTGGATGGTCCTCCGGCCTCCAGGACACCTGCAGACAGAGTCCTGAGAAGGGCTGACGGTCCTGCCAGCTAGTATCTCTCCCTCATCCCTTCGTCTTCAGCATCCGGAGGAAGGGCCTGGACCCCAGGAGGTATCTCTCCCTCTCTCTCTCTCTCATTCTCTTTCCCCAGCTGTCTTGAACTCTCTCCGCCAGCTGAGCACATCTACGAGCATCCTGACAGATCCAGGCTGTATACCTGAGCAGGCCACACGGGCGGTCACAGAGGGCACCCTTGGTAAACCTTTATAGTGCTGGCCAGACGCTGCCACTCACTCAGCGGCCCCGGGGCTGCTTTCCCTGGGCGTGGGCTCCAGGGACAACTTCTGGGCACTCCCTTCCTGCCCCAGGCCCTGGCTGTCCCCTTGCCTGAGGGTCTGGCAGGGCCCAAATCTCTTCCACCTCCTGAAAGCCAGGAAGAGCTACGTTCTAGTCGCTGCCCCACCAGCAACGAACACCGTGACCTGGGGGACTCGTGCTCACTCTTGGGACCTCCATTTTCCAGTCTGCAAAATGGGGCTGGAGAAGCTTCAACCAGATGATGATCCCAAGGCCTTAGCAGCTGTGACACTTGGAGCTGAAGCTGGCAACTCAGGGAGCTTGGAGGAGGAAGGGGGATGATCCTGTTTCCTTGCCTCCCCCACCTGCTTCCCGCCTCCCCCGGGTAGGACACAGGCAGAAAAGGAGGTTCCCACTCTCTGCTCCTTCGCTGGTTGCCCAGTGTGGGGTGGGGTGCTGCAGGATGGCATCCCTGGGTGAGGCCAGGAAGGTCTGATCCCAGGAGAGAGCAGGGCAGAGGGGTAGCCAAACCAGGGGCAGGCATCTTGTGTGCGTGTGGATGCGTGTGTGTGGATTTTGTAAAGAATTCTTGCCAATAAAACCAAAAACTGTTGGGGACTGTCAGTGTGTCTCACTCTGGGATGGAAAGAGAGCCAGCTGGCAGTGGGAGGTGGCCTTGAAAGGACCTTAGCTTTTCCTCTGAGCTAGAAGCCACTAGAAGGTTTTGAGTAGAGGTGGGACAAGGTCAGATGTAAGTTCTTAACAGAATCCCTCCGGGTGCAAAGCCAAGAATAGGCCACAGTGGGGCAAGGACAGAAGCAGGGAAGCCAGTTTTAAGCTGTTGCTATCATCCTGGTCAGAGAGGACAGACACTCGTCCTGGAATTCCTCTCTCCATGACCAGGAAAAGGTTCAGAAAGGCTTACCACCTTCCAAGCTGGAAGAGGGCAGAGCCAAGCCAAGGAGTAGAAGGGACAGGGCCCTCCGTTGGAACCATCCAGAAGGAGAACAGACTGCCACTGGGGGTGGTGACCTCCCCATTAGGCGAGATGTGCAAGCGGGAGGGGGGGCGGCCGCTTGGTTGGGATGTCTTAGAAGGAACTGATACTTCAGATGGGGAATTGGGGTGAGTGGCCCCAGTATTTCCTTGATTCTTTTATTGAGCTTTGAACAAATCTTTTCTGAGGGCCCGCTGGGAACCAGATGATGGTCTTGGTGCTGGGGATTCTGTTCGCTGCTGGATCCCTCTCCTCATGGGGCTGATTCAAGCCTCTTACATCTCAGGACTTCCACAGATGCTTCCGTGGCCATTGACTTCCCCTCATTTGTGTGGAATCACAACACAGATAACAATACTAACTACACACTCATCTAATGTTTACTCTGTGCCAAGCACTATTTGAAGCACTTTATGTATGTATATGAACTCACTTATTATATATTAACATCTACCTCTAAGGGCCAGTTGTGAGGATTTCAGGGTAAATATATATAAAGTACTTACAACAGTGACTGGCATAAAGCACTCTGTAAGAGTCATCACGGGCGCCTGGGTGGCTCAGTTGTTAAGCGTCTGCCTTCAGCTCAGGTCATGATCCCAGGGTCCTGGGATCAAGCCCTGCGTCGGGCTCCCTGCTCAGTGGAGAGCCTGCCTCTCTGTCTCCCTCTGCCTGCTTCTCTGCCTGCTTGTGCTATCCATCAAATAAATAAAATATTAAAAAAAAAAGTTAGCGTAATTATTTATAATCCCCATTTCACAGATGAAAAGTTGAGGCACAGAGAGGTTAACTAGCCCAGGGCTGCTTGGTTACTGTCTGACTCTAGTCTCTGCTTTTACCCAGCTCTCTCTACGGTGCAGGGAACAGGTGCACCCAGGCCTGGAGGGCTATCTGTTGCTGCAGACAAAGGTTTGAAGTGGCTGAGAGGTAAAATCCTAACGGTGGGGGCACCCGGGTGGCTCAGTCGTTAAGTGTCTGCCTTCGGCTCGGGTCATGATCCCAGGGTCCTGGGATCGAGCCCCACATCGGGCTCCCTGCTC